TATTCCTACAGGCATTATATGGTATTACTGGCTACCGCCTTAAACTAGAAAAATAGATGAGAGACTTATTTCTTGAACAAAAGGAGTGGAAAGGAGATCTTAGATAATTTGGGTACAGACAATACATTAAAGAGCTTAAGATAAATATGCAAGATCCTCATAGTGCCCAAGCGTGACTTAGAAACTTAGTAAAGAAACAATTACCTTGTGTGTTCAATTAAGCTACAAATTGACATGCTACGCACTGCGGGTGAACTATCAATTGTTACTGGAGAGAGCTCACACCATCTACTAATTCTTCCCCATGGACCCTTCACTAAGTGCATAGAAACAGTACATCAGTGGCTGGGGGCAGAAAGGAAAAACTGAGAGAGAGAAAGGTACATGGGGTCTTGTGCAAGAAAAGACATTGTGTCAACGTGTGTGGGGCCTTCTTTTGTGTAATACATAATAATAGATAAAATACACAAAAAAATGGAGGCATGCTGAAAATCAGCATGATTTCTCCTATTGTTGAGAAATTTGGTAGTGGGACTGTATATCATAGAGAGATCCGTAGAATTTGGCTGGTGCTATAATTTGAAGTCATGTTGAAGGGAAAGACTGGATTCTACTTTCAAAAAATTTGAAGTTGGGGGCAAACTGAATCTAATAAAAGCAGTGCAAAAGCCCAGACACTTGCCAAATACAAATTAGATCAATTCATCCATCAGCATCAGCAGCCTGACAGAGTAAGAGTCATGTTATGGGCATTATTTACTTCAGTATTTACTGCTATTTACTGTTGTTGTTTTTTTTTACAGTAATGCCCATGATAAAATAAAAATTACAAGATATGAATAAGCAGGGAAATTTAACCCATAAGGAAAAGAAAAAAGTCAATCAAAATCAGTTACTGATAATGGTCATTACTCATATGGTCCACATGTTGGAATTAAAATACATGAGTTTAAAAAGCACTATGACAAATACATTATAAGATCTATTGGAAAACATGGACAATATTTGTGAACAGACAGGGACATTCAGGAGAGATGCTGAAGCTATAAAGAAGAAGAAACAGAGATGTTAGAATGGGAAAATACAGTAACAGGAATGTTTATTAGTTGGACTTCAAAACAGTCTGAACACAAGAGAAGACCTTGAAGACAGGTGATCTTGAAGACAGGTAAATAGACATTATTCAATTTCTAACATAAAGAAAAAAAAAAAGAAAAACCTAACCAGAGAATCTGAAATCTGTGGAACAGTGTCTTCTTGAAATATATACTGCACTAGATGTGGTAAATACTTTCATATGACAATTTTCATGCATTTCATTTACCTGATTCATCAATTGTTGATTTTCCTTCTAGTTTCAGGAAAACCTCATTCAAAGTTGTCATGGAAACACCATAATTCTCAATTCCCAGGCCAGGGAAGCTATCAAGATCCTTGTAAAGTTCTAAAAAATACACCACACAGCAGTGAACCAAAACAAGAAAAATCACAAGTGAACTGAAGACAACTTTTCAAATAAGCACAAATATATGAAATTATACTTGTGATATGTCAAAAACATTTTAATAATTAACATTTCATAATAGGTAACCTTATTCTTCTAATTCCATACATCATTTTCTATTTTACGTTGTGTTTTATAGTCCAAATATTACTTTCTTTTGATCAAATATCAATTTATACTCATTTATATTTCTATT